CCAACACAAAAAAGGGCTGTCAGAGTGACTCAAGTTGTAGAGTGCCTGCCTAGCCAGCATGAGGCCCTGAGTTTAAACCCCACTACTGCTCCCGGTGCCAAAAAACAAACAAACAAATAAAAAACAGAGGCACATACCAAGATCTACATGCAAAGCTAAGCAGTAAGTAAGTTAGAGTCAGATGCTTAAGCAAGGTTTGGAAAAACAGGCAGGTACTGAAGCCAAGAGTAACAGATTCCAAATACAAGGAAGCAGTCTTGGCAACAGGAATTAGGAATTCAAGTGTAGGCTAGGCAACAGGAGTGAGAAAAAGTAAGTACAGAGCACGGGTAATGTATTCTAGACATCAGCAAATATGAGACCTTTACACACGTGCATGAAAATAGAATAATGAAATCTGTTGAAATTGTTTTAAGAAGGAGGGAGGGAGAGTGATAGAGGAGTAAATTTATTTTTTTCAAAGGAGCTTTAAATCTTTTTTTATTGTTGTGCTGGGAGTACATTGTGGCATTTACAAAAGTTCTTATAGGATACTTGAATTTACTTCCTTTTATTTATTTATTTTAGATATGAGACATTTAAAAAAAGAGTAATAACATGTTTCTATGTACTGATTCACATTCTAGAAAAGCAAATTCCAGTGTTTTCAGTACATCTTAAATTGTTTCAGATTTAGAGCCAGGCATGGTGGTACCTTCATGTAATTCCAGCACTGGGGGGTAGGGGGCGGCACCGAATCAGGAAGCTAGAGCGTTTGAGGCCAGCCTGGACTACACAGTGAGTTCGAGGCCAGCCTAGGCTACATGAGAAACTTATTCCTGTTTTAAAGCCTGGATTTCAAGGGAGGGGATTTTCAAAAGAGTCACCTTCCCCCAAATCACATAGTCCCTGAGCTGTGCACCTCAATATGCACACAGATTCTGAAAAATCCTCCCCATACACCTCAGGCCAGGACCCTGGTAGCTGCAGGGCAGAGGCAGTAGAGAGATACTAAATTGATTTGGAGACGGGGGAGAATGTGGTGGACACTCTGCACTGGGGCTGAGAATCGGATGTGGACTCCCTTGTCAGAAGGAACTATTTTTGCAGCTGGACTCTGCCTGTTCATTAGAACGTGTTTCTGGCCCCTTCTTGTCCAGCCTGGAGGGAAGCCATCGGGTAGAAAGGTGCTTTCTGGCCGAGGTCAGTCACCTCCTACCAATGCATCCTGTGTTGGTCCTGGCTGCCAAGTCCAGAGGTGAGCCAGCCCTGCCAAGGGGCTCACTGCCAGGAGACTGGGCTGGGCTGGAACCTGTGCTGGGCTGCAGGGCACAGAGGGCAACGGCTTCTTCTGGTAAGCAAGACAGGGCTGGCAACAGGCTTATAGCAGTCAGTCCCAGATGGACAAGAATGAATGCTCCAGGCCAGGAGTGAGACCTACCTGCACTCCCAGCACTCAGGGGGCTGGCAAAGGAGAACACTTGAGACCAGGATTTCCAGGCCAGGCCAGCCTGGGCAACTTGTGAGATGTGTGTGTGTGTGTGTGTGTGTGTGTGACAGAGAGAGAGACAGACAGACAGACAGAGAACAGAGATGGGAGGGATTTGCATCCAGGCACAGGTCTCTTTTGGCCCTCTGCGCAAGGCTCAGCTGTGACATCGGAAGTCTGGTCTTATTATTCCGGGGAGACTGAGGCAGAAAAGGTGTGACTGAGGCCCAAGGTCACACAGCAGGTAGGGGCAGATCAGAGGACTCCCATGAGGTGGTCTGGGCCCTGACCTGTACCACTACCCCCGGAGTCTGTCCCAGATGCCAGGGTGTTCTGGACCCAGAGGGTTGGGGGTGGACTTGGTGTCTGTCCTGATGACTCCCCTTCTTTGTACAGGCTTGTGCTCTGGGCCTCCCACCTCCTAAAAAAGATGTGAGCCATACATGGAGCGAGGGGTAAATTCAATCAGTGTATATTGTATGTGTATGTGAAAATATCACAATAAAAGACGTTTGTACAACTAATTTATCCTAAATTTTTAAAAAATGAGCTGGGCACCAGTGGTTCACGCTTGTAATCTTAGCTACTTGGGAGGCTGAGATAGAAAAGATTGCAATTCGAGGCCAGCCCACACAAATAGTTCAGGAGACCCCCACCTCCAAAATAACCAGAGCAAAATGAACTAGAGGTGTGGCTCAAGCAACAGAACACCTGCTTTGCAAGCACAAAGCCCTGAGTTCAAACCCAGTCCAACCAAAAAAAAAAAAAGAGAGAGAGAGAGAGAGAAACTTTAGCCCTGAGGCAGACTTTCTACCTTGGGCTCTTATTGATCCTTAATTTGGTTCCTGCCTACTATGGGTGTCCTCGTCTCTCTGTCTCTGTCTCTCTCTCTCTCTCTCTCTCTCTCTCTCTCTCTAGCTTATCAGTTGCACTTCTCATCCATCCTTCCCCCACTTTTACTCGATTACACATAAAACAGAACTAACATGTTCAATTGAGTTTAAGAATTTTTTTTCACATTTTAATACTTCCAAAATCAGGATGCATTTTAAGATTGATTGCAGCCGGACATGGTGATACACACCCATAATCCCAGCACTTGGGAGACTGAGGCAGGAGGACTTCGAGTTCAAGGACAGCCTGGGCTACATAGCAAGATCAGAAAAAAATTGACAGCATATCATTGTTAACTTGGCAGTCCTTTTTTATTCCTTCTTGGTATATAAAATAGTGGTGGTGTTACATTCAGTGGTGTCTTAGATTTAACGTAATGCAAATGCTCTTTCATTTGGGGCAATTTTTAAAAAAAATTTGTGGGGTTGAGCGTTATTGAGGTAGCATTTACATAAAATAATATGCCCATTTTTTTGTGGGACTGGGATTTGTACTCAGGTCTTCACACTTGCAAAGTAATTGCTCAGGCAGGCACTGGTGGCTCACGTCTATAATCCTAGCCACTCAGGAGGCAGAGATCAGGAGGATTGTGATTTGAAGCTAGCACTGGCACATCGTTTTCGAGACCCTATCTCAAAAATACCCAACACAAAACGACTGGTGGAGTGGTTCAAGTGGTAGAGTGTCTGCCTAGCAAGCATGAGGCCCTGAGTTCACACCCCAGTACCAACCTCCCCTCCCTCAAAAAAGAAAGAAAAGCTGGTGCGCTATTGTTTGAGTCACGCCTCTAGTCAATTTTGCTTTGGATATTTTGGAGATGGGGTCTAGCAAAATATTTGTCTGGCTGACCTCAAATTGCAATCTGCCAGATGTCAGCCTCCCCAAGTAGTTAGGATTCCAGGCATGAGCCACTGGCACCTGATTAAAATGGCGATTTTAAGTGTACAGTTCAGTAAATTTACACAAATGTGCAAGGTTATGCAACAACCACCACAGTTATAATAAAGAACATTTTAATCATTCCAAAAAGTTCTCTGGAGCCCCTTTTCAGCTAATCTTTTTTCCCTATCCTTTCCTTGGGTCACCATTGATTTCCTTCTATTACTATAGTTTTACCTTTTCTAGAATCTCAAATAAATGGAACCATACAGTATGTATTCTATGTCTGGATTTTTTCATTTTCACTCATGTCCATGTGTACATCAGTAGTTTTTTGAGGGGCTGGAGGGGGTGTTTGTTTTTTGTGGTTTTTATTTTTTTGAAATGGGGTCTCACTATGTAGCCCAGGTTGGCCTTGAACTCATGATCCTCCTGCTTCACTGCCCAGTGCTGAGATTACAAGCACGTTCCATCACACCTGGCTAGTCATTCATTTTTATTGTTTATATTTATTACAGTTAATGAATATACCACATATTGCTTATCCATTCACTTGTTGATGAGCATTTGAATTGTTTCCAGTTTGAGGTAATTTATAGTATCAAATTAGAGTTTTTAAAGTGGGAAGGAAGATATTACCAACAAATCAAATTGGGCTTTTTTTCCCCCTTGCTGAGAGGCACCAGTACCAGGAGAGAATTCTTTTACTAAAAAACAAAAAAGACAAGGCGCTGTTTGTCAGTTGTTTGTGCATTTATTATCTGTGAATTCTAATCTACACACAGAAAAGAGACTCTGAAGCCTTTCAGGTATAGTTTATATTCAACTACAGAAAATACACCCAAGCACAGTGGTGCACGGCTGTCTATTCTAGAGACTGAGGCAGGAAGATGTCAAGTTCAAGACCAGCTGGCTCAACATCACACGTACAAAAAAATTTTGTTCCCCTAGTAAGGAAAATTTGGATAACACTGAATTCACCTGAGAAGAACTAAACGAAGTACCCTGGGGATCCTTTTTTTTTTTTTTAATTGTTGTACTGGGGTTACATTGTGACGCTTACAAAAGTGCTTACAACATATCATAGTTGAATTCACTCCCTACATCATCCTCCTTTATCCCCGCTCTCCATTCCTGGAATAGTTTTAACAGGTCTCATTTTTCCATTTTCATACATGTATAAATAATATTTCCACCATATTCACCCTCCTACACCCTTTCCTTATATCCTCCCCCCTCCCATTGGTACCAACCCTTAAGACAGGACCTGTTATGCCTTCCTGTTCTCCGTTTTTGTAAAAAACAAAATGACATTTTTGTTTGTTTAAGGGAAATCTGTCTTTTGATCTGAACAAAACACTAAACTTTCATGATAAAAGGATTCGATTTATTTAAAACAGGGACTCTGAGATATTTTTTTGGCTCCAGCACTCCTGGCCAAAAGCTAAGAAACCGCTTTGTATTCGGGGATTTGTAGTCCCCAAAAGAATCACTTCTAGTCAAGATGGCGGAGTTACTAATGACGCGTGAAGGGGCGGGCCCCGGGGGAGTCTGGGCCATGTGGGGATTGGACTGCGCGGGATTCGGCAGGCGGGAAGTAAAGACCAGGTAGGAAAACCTTTCCACTGAGGGAAAGCAGGGAGCCCTCAAGTCTCGCGAGATCTCTGGGGGCCCAATGGAACGCGCAGCCCCGCTTATTGTTAGGGGTGTTTGTTGGGGGCGGAGCTCCAAAGGCAGTTGCCTGGCGGCCGAAGCGCCGGGCTTATCTGCTTTGAGCTTAAGCACTCGCTCGAAAGAGCGAGCTCAACTGTAGCCATGAAGGAAGAGAAGGACCATAGGCCTAAGGAGAAGCGAGTGACCCTGTTAACGCCCCAGGGGGCCACTTGCAGCAGCGGTGGGGCTTCAGGAGAAGGCGCCAAAGGGGACGATAAGCAGGATCGCAACCGGGATAAGAGAGAGGCTCTGAGCAAGGTGCCTGGCCGGCTGAAGGCCTGGGAGAGGGCGGGACGAGTTTGCTGCTCCTGGAGGATGGCTGGGAATGGGGCTACCCTTTTCCTTCCCGGTTCACTTTCTACCTCTGCCTGAATGAAAATCGTTTTATCCTGTCTCATACGCTCGCCCGAAATCGGGGGAAGCCCCTCCCGGCGAAGCCCTGGGGTAGGGATAAGGAAAAGGGATTTTCCTGAGGGAAAGAGTTTTAAGTCAGAGCTGTGAGATGGTAATGGGAGAGGGGAGCGGGTAGAGAAAATGAGGAATGAAATTTAATTGGGGGAATTACTAAGTAGTGAAGGGGACATCGGGGTGGGAGGAGTTTGCGGTAGACGAGTTGGGGCGGGGGCGGGGACGGGGATTAATGATTTGGAGGGGCCGATCAGGAGCATCCTATTTTGAGGGTATAATGGTAAATGTTTTGTATGCGTTAAACTGAATGAGCAGGGATTTTGCTTTAGTGTGTGTCGGACGTGGGAGAGAGAGTATTGAATTAACATTTCGTGACACCCACAAAAGGCCGGGGTTTGCCACTAGATCTGTTGAAAAATGAAAGCTAGAAAATGTTTCACAAACCCGGTGAACTGCCGAGTTGCTAGTTAAGAGCAGAACCTAAGATTGTACCTACTAAAGACAGTTCTCATTTCCAAGAGTTGGTTTTTTGGGGGGTTTGTTTGTTTTTACCACATTGCTATTATGTTTGACGAATGAGCTTCAGAGGACTATTTTCTCCTGAGTTTTTATAAGTGATTTTATATTTTAAAGCCAATCTTTCAGCAGGAACCATTATTCTTTCAGGTATGACAGAAAATTGATTTGTACTAATTTATTTTGCTTATTCATTTCTTAAGGTGGTAATTCGAAGATTACCTCCCACTTTGACCAAGGAACAGCTTCAGGAACATCTACAGCCTATGCCAGAGCATGATTATTTTGAGTTTTTTTCTAATGATACTAGGTAAAAAAAGTGGGGGGAGTAAGTGAAAAAGGTTTCTTCTATTCTTTTTATCCTACTAATGTGTTTTAATTTTGAGGTGGTCTTCTTAATGTCTGCATATTTGTAATTCAACCAGACATCTGTAAGCACATTTACATAATTGCTTTTCTCTCTGCAGTCTGTATCCTCATATGTATTCCAGAGCATACATCAACTTTAAAAACCAAGAGGACATTATTTTGTTCAGGGATCGCTTTGATGGCTATGTATTCCTTGACAATAAAGGTGAGTCTGTGTAAGTGAACTAGAAGGGGAGTTTGTAATTTTTATGTTTAAGAGAATATGTGTATCACAGTGTTTCTCCTGGCCTTTATAGGAAGCTTTTCTAAAATCCTTGGTAATAAAATATGCAACATTTAAAGAGTTGTAGCCAGGCATGTTGGTATACACCTGTAATCCCACCCAGCTACTCAGGAGGCAGAGATCAGGAGGATGATATTTTAAGGCTGCCCTGGCAAAAAAGGAGATAACCCTATCCAAGAAATAGCTAAAGCAAAAAAAGGCTGGGAGCATGGCTGAACTGGTAGAACCCCTGCTTAGCGAGCATGAGGCCCTGAGTTCAAACTTCAGTACCTCCCAAAAAGAGTTTTAAACATTTCATAAGCTTATTGCACTCTCATTGACATATGACTTTTCATAGCCCTAGTGTTTTGATTAACCCATATTTGCTCTAGATTAGATCTGCTGTTTTTATTATTTAGTTTCAGCAGCAATACTGATAAACAACACTTTAAACTTGTGTGACAAGTTTTAAATATTTCTCATTACTTCAAGGACAACACTTATTTAATATCCTTTACGATAACTGTTCTCAGTTGGAATACTGTTTAACATTCTCACAAAAATATGTAATTAAAACATCAAACTTTATCTCCCATTTTGTGTCTATGATGCTCCAGTCTATAATAAAGACAAATTTCTACCTAACTCACTTTTTATTTAATATATGCTGTTTGCAACATTTAGCCAGAGTATGTCCGACTTGCCATTTGTCACCTTTTTGTTGTTGTTGTTTTATAGTCATAAGTAAATGGCCAGAGGTTTTTTGTTTGTTTCATTTTGTTTTCTCGTATTACTTCAGTTTGGTGAAAATTAATTCTTTGTCAGAGATTAAAAGGTAAAGGATTGCCAACTGTGTCCAACTTTTTTTTGGGTGCTGGAGATTGAGCCCAGAGCTTCTCACATGCTGTTTTTGCTCTACAGCTAAATAAATAAATAAATTCACCCAAACCAACTAGTTTTCCAACTTTTATACATGGTGGATTTTTTGGTGGTTTTGTTTTTTGGTTTTTTTCGGTGGTGGTAGGTATTGGGATTTGAACTTGGCTTTGTATTTGCTAGGCAGGTGCTCTACTGCTTTAGCCAAGCCACGAGCCTTCCCTTCCAACTTTTTGATTCTGATACATAGCAATGATTTCCAATTTAGCCTAGAAATCTGAGTTGTGTTTAATTTTTACATTTTTTACCCCTTACAAGTGGTAGTTTGATCAATTTTGGGGGGGTTTATTGCTTTTATTTTAACCTAGATGTAACCATACTTTTACACTTTATGTCCTCATCGGCTAATGCTTTTTTTTTTTTTCTGTGGTACTGGTGTTTGAACTCAGGGCCTCACATGTGCTAGGCAAGTGCTCTTACTACTTGAGCCACTCTGCTAACCCCATCATCAGCTAATGCTTAGACAAACACTGTCTCTTAACTTACAGGATTTTTAGATTTCTGTATAATTCATTCTGTTGCCATGAAATTTGTGTGTGTGTGTGTGTGTGTGTGTTTTGTGTTTGCTGCTAGGGATTCACATACTAGGCAAGTGGTCTACCACTGAGCTACATCCTCAACCCAAAATTAAACTTTTTTAAAAGGTGATTAAGTTAACAGTTGTGAGAAAGAAAAATCAAAAGTCCAAACTCAGCATGGTGTTCAGGGCCCTCTGTAGCCTGGCCTCACTTCTGTTTTTTTAGCTTGTCTGCCACAATTTCCCTTTGCTCCAGTCTTGTTTATCTATTCCGTTCCTTCTCAAATATACTACAGTTACTCAACTAATCTAATTTTGCATTCGCTAGGATTTGCAAAACCATTCTTCCTCCATGACTATGTTGTGAGGCCTTCTGGCCCCAATTCTACTTATTTTATTCTGCTTTCTATGTACATACCAATGATAAGAATATGGTGTTTTTATACACTATCTGACATTGTTCAGTGCCAGATATCTGATGTAGGGATTTGTTTTGTTTTGTTTTATTTGTTTGTTTTGGCAGTAGTGGGATTTGAACTCAGGACCTCACACTTGATAGGCAGGCGCTCTGCCAATTGGGCCACTCCACCAGCCTTTTCGTGTTGAGTATTCTTGAGATAGGATCTAGAGAACTATTTGCCTGAGCTGGCTTCAAACTGTGATCTTCCTGATCTCTGCCTCTTGAGTAGCTAGGATTACAGGGGTGAGCCACTGGTGCCTGCTTAATAGATTTTTTTAGAGGGGCTGTTGCAGATTGATCCAAGGGTCTTGTGCATGCTAAGCAGCTGTTTTATCACTGAGCTACACTCCCAGCCCCTATTTTTAATTTTCTTAGGAACCAACATACTGTTTACCATAAAAGGTGTCATTTTACATTTTTTTCTAGTAGTACACAAATGTTCTAATTTTTCCATGCCCTTTTCAACAATTAGTATTTTCTGGGGGGGTTTTGTTGGTGGGGGGTACTGGGGTTTGAACTCAGGGCTTCATGTTGCTAGGTAGTCATGCTACCACTTAAGCCACTGCACCAGCTCTGGTTTTGATAGTAGCCATTCTAACAGGTGATATCTCACTGTGGTTTTGATTTCCATTTTCCTAATAATTAAGGAAATTTTTGTTGGCTATTTATGTATCATTGGAGAAATAAATTTCTATTCAAGTCCTTTGACCATTTTTAATTGGGTTGTTTTTCGTTGTTAAGTTATAGGAGTTCTTTATATATTCTGAATATTACCCCTTGTCAGATATGATGTTACAAATATTTCTGCTCATTTCTTTTTCTTTTTTTCTTTTTTTTTTTTTTTTGGCAGTATTAGGATATTTGAACTCGGCCTCATGCTGTACCACTTGAGTCACTCTGCCAGCCCTGGTTTTTTTGTGTGTTGGGTATTTTCGAGATAGGGTTTCTCGAACTATTCACCCAGGCTAGCTTTAAACTGGGATTCTTTTGATCTCTGCCTTCTGAGTAGCTAGAATAAGATGTGAGCCACCAGCACCCAGCAACAAGTTTTTCTTTTAGTTTTATTGAGATATAACTGACAAATGTATACATATTTAAATTTTATATGTAATAATTTGATATATATGTACATTTGAAATGATTGCCATAAATGAAGTTAATTAACATATCCATCACCTCACATAGTTACCTTTTAAAAAATAACAGCTTTATTGAGATACAATTCACATATCATAAAATTTAGCCTTTTTAAAGTGGTTTCAGTGATTTTTTTTCATATATTCAGAGTGTACAACCATCACCACAATCTAATTTTAGACCATGATCATCACCCCAAAGAGAAACTCCATATCCATTAGTTGTCATTTCATTAACACCTCGCCCCCAGGTCTGGGCAACCACTTAGCTACTTTCTGTCTCTTAAGATTTGTCTATTCTTGCTGGGTGCCAGTGGCTCACACCTGTAATCCTAGCCTTTCAGAAGGCAGAGATAGGAGGATCGCAGTTGGAAGCCAGCCCGGACATAATAGTTTGCAAGACCCTATCTTGAAAAAAAAAGGGGGGGGGAGCTGGTGGGGTGGCTCAAGGCATAGACCCTGAGTTCAAGCCCCAGTACCACAAAAAAAATTGTCTAATTCTAAGGGTTTCTTTCTTGTTTTGTGTGATACTGGGGTTTGAGCTTAGGGCCTCATGCTTGCTAAGTTGGCACTCTACCACTTGAGTCACTCCTCAGCCCTTTTATGTGTTGGGTATTTTTGAGATAGAGTCTAGCAAACTATTTGCCTGGCCTGGCTGTGAACCTTGATCCTCCTGATCTCTGCCTCCTGAACAGCTAGAATTACAGGTTAATGAGCCACGGTGCCCAGCGCTAATGTTTTTTGTTTTTTGTTTTTTTTTTTGGTGGGACTGGGGTTTGAACTCAGGGCTTTGCACTTGCAAAGCAGGCGCTCTGCTGCTGGTGCCACACCTCCAATCCATTTTCCTCTGTTTATTTTGAAGATGGAGTCTCATGAACTATTTGCCCTGGCTAGGCTAGAACCACAATCCTCCTGATCTCAGCCTCCCAAGTAGCTAGGATTACAGATAGGCATGAGCCACTGGCACCCGGCTCTAATGTATTTTAGTGAGGATTAATTTACAAGGTTTCTTTTCACAAATCAATACATTTTAGAAGCTGAATTTAAATGAGTATTTTTCTTCCCTGACATTTATTTGTTTGTTTAGATTAGCTACATTGCCCAGGCTGATCTCAAATTCTGGGCTCCTGCAATCCACCTATCTCAGCCTTCTCAGTAATTGGGATTACAGGCATGTGCCACCATACTTCAGCTTTCTACCATATCTTTTTTTTTTCTGCAGAACTGGGGTTTGAACTCAGGGCCTTCACCTTAAGCCACTCCACCAGCCCTGTTCTTGTGATGGGTTTTTTTTGAGATAGGGTCTCGCAAACTATTTGCCCAGCTGGCTTGGAACCTCAATCCTCCTGATCTCTGCCTCCTGAGTAGCTAGGATTACAGGTGTGAACCACCAGCGCCCAGCTGTGCCATATATTTAATTATGTTATCCATGTGAATTTTGGGCTTCTTTAGTAGCATGTTGATTATAGTTGTGCCAGTGTGTTATGTCATTTGGGAAACCCTATTCAAAAGACTGCCATCTAAGGTAGACTATAAAACAGTGAGTTGATTCCCTTGTGTCCACTTTTGACATTTTCTTTGTTAAAGCAAGTGTGGTATTTTTTTTTTCTAAACAGGTCAGGAATATCCTGCAATAGTAGAATTTGCACCTTTTCAAAAAGCTGCAAAAAGGAAGACTAAGAAAAGAGATACCAAAGTTGGGACTATTGATGATGGTACAGTATAGCTTATAGCTCTAGTTATGTAATATTATTGCCATGTTTCTTTTTTTTTTTCCAATACTGGGGTTTGAACTCAGGGCTTCATGCTTACTAGGCAGGCTCTCTACTGTTTGAGCCACGCTCCCCAAACCCGTGCCATTTTTTTTTAATAATGCCTTTTCAAGAGTTAATTAGAACTTGGTATTTAATTTAGAAAACTTACAGAATGAAGTTAATTAAGAAACCTTATTCCAGTGGAAGCTTTGCTTAATTATTAAGGTGGAGGTAGGTTTCCTGCATAGAGTTTCTGCTCTTTTGGATATTGGCATTTCAAACTATAAAAACTGCTCCTTAAGGCCTCTTACCATTGTTAAGATTATTTATTTGATTATTAGTTTCTGTTATCTTACTCAAGAAAAGTTTAAGCTGTGATGGTAAAATTTCCATACCCAAGAAATTTCATATAAAGTAGTTCAAGTGGTCAGTCCTATTTCTTAGGCTTTGAATATGTAGCTAACTACACACATAGTAATTAGGTTGAACAGAAATATAGGAACTAAAAAACTGGAATTTGAGATCTCTTTAACATTATGTTGAAAAACTATTGCATAATACTTGTTATGTTGGATAAGGTCTTAGCCCCAATATTTTAGATCAAATTGATTAGTTGAACTTCCATCATTTACTATAACAGGTATTTTATGAATCAGTAAAGACTCAACACAGCTGCTTATTGATACTACATTTAGATATGGAAGACTAGATCAAGTGATGTTCTCAGTAGTACATAGAAGCAATATAATGACTCAGATGTATTTCCTTTTTTGATGACAGAGGTGTTTAAGAGAGAACTCCAGGAATTAGCATCATCTCCAGTGTTGAGTCTAGGATTTCTCCTCTAATTTATCTCTGAACACCTAATTTTCCTATATTGAGTTTACTTATTGTGAGGTGTACCCATAAGGGAACTGCTTACATGCTAAACCTAATACTCTCTGAAGGTTCCATAATTATAACTCTCCCTTAAGTATAGCTGTGGATTAGTAGGAGCAGTGACCTTTTCCCTTTTTCTTTTTCTTTTTGTGGTACTGGGGATTGAACCAAGGGCCCTAAATATACTAGGTAAGCACTCTACCACTGGAGCAGTGACTTTTTACAGCAAACTGTGTAACACCTGGGTAGGTCTGTTCTAATGTGTGGTGTCTTATTTTTGCTGACACTCATGTTACACCAGACTTCCATAATGAATATCAAGGGTAAATGACCAATTAAGCCCTACATAGTCTATCTTGTGTGGGTGGTTTGTTTTAAGTCTTCCCTGAAGTAGAAAATTATCTTTTGATAAATAAGTATCATGGATAATATTTCCTTTTTTGTTTAAAGCCTCTATTTTCTGGTTCCTTAAATGATTATTTAGATCCAGAATATAGAAAATTTTTGGAGAGTTATGCCACAGATGAGAAAATGACATCTACTCCAGAGACATTACTAGAGGAAATAGAAGCCAAAAATAGAGAATTAATAGGTAAGTGGGCAAAAGGAATTAGGTCAGTGGTTTTTCATCGAATACCTAAGTCTGTCTCCCACTACCCTCACTTGTTAGCCTTTTGACCTTAGGGAAGTCACTTCATTTTCTGAGATTGTTTATTCTACTTGAAAATACAAATGATAATATGATAATACTCACAAGATTATGAGAATGCATTGATAAGATGGGACAAATTCTCAGTGACCTGATTAGTGTCACAGAAACATATCAGTGTAAAAAGTTTAAAGAGTATTAAGGCATTTTTAGGCAGTGGTAAACTTTTGAAATAAGTTATTTCCAAAAAATTTTTTACCTGACTATATCAAAAAAATAAAATTAGTTACTGCAAAATTAAAAACCTTGAGAAATTGCAACTTGGATACTCATTCTCAGTAGGTTGTGACTACTGTATCAGCTCTAAATAGGGACATAGTCTTTGACCCAGGATTTCCACTCCTAGGAATATATCCGAAAGAAGTATGTGTTCAGAGAAATGGCTATGAGGATAATAGCATTGTTTAGAATGTTGAAAAATGAACTTAAAACTGAGTGCCAGTGGCTCTGCCTGTATACCTAGCTATTAGGCAGGCTGAGATAGGGAGGATCACAGTTCAAGGCCAGACCAGGCAAATAGTTTGTGAGACCCCCATCTCTGAAATAACCAGATTAAAAATGGGCTGGAGGTGTGGCTTGAGTGGTAAAGCTCCTGCTTTGCAAGTGCAAAACCCTGAGTTCAAACCCCAGTTCCACATTTTAAAAAAATGAACTTAAATATTCTTCTAAAACTTCAATTTTATAATGGATGCCCTGGCTATAAACCCATATCTGGCAACTTACTTAGAATAAATTCCCAGAAGTGGAAACATGAGCTCAAAAGGATTGGATACTTTTAGCCATTTCCCTCAGTTTCTTTCCAGTTGAACAAATTTATACTACTGTCAGTAAAACAAGAACAAGAGAATGTCCATTGTACTTAATTCTCCCCAACTGGAAATTACTCTTAAAAACTGTTTTATTGTTTTAATGGGGGTCTTTTTACTTTTTAAAAAGCATGTTAAGCCTGTATTGTTGAAATAGAATACTGTAAAGCAATTTTTTGGTAATATAATTATGAACTTTCTGCCTAAGAGATGTAGTTTCCCCATTTTGGGTGGGTGGCAGGGAATGTCAGAAAGTGGAATCGTTTCCGGGGGTTGATAAGTATTATTAATAATCTGTTTACATTTATGTAGCTAAAAGAACAACCCCACTTTTGAGCTTCCTGAAAAACAAGCAGGTAAATCTGTTTTTATAGTTCTCTCAGTTCTTTAATTTTATTCAGTCACATTCTATAAACATTGTAAGAGCATAGGGATTCTGTAGGAGAAATAGCTGCTTTTCCCACAATCATTCTTTAAAGATTTGGTTCCGTGGTCTCACTCTTTGGCACTCTACTTCACACTAGTTGTGGGACCAGGGGTTCACCATGAAAACCTAAGAGTCCTTAGCTTGTCTTTGAGCCTCTGACAAGAGTGGAAGACTGATTTTAGCAAGTCCTGGGTCTCACTCTCTTTTTATTTTCTGGGATTGGGGTTAAGGAGGTTGTAGAAAGTAGGTAGGAAAAGTGATCCAGTTTAGTAGGTGCCCACCATGCTTTTGGAATTGGTTAGGTTTTTGGTGATGATTATTTGAAGACTTGTGCTGATATTTCTTTCTAGAGAATGAGAGAAGAAAAGAGGGAAGAAAGGAGGCGGCGAGAAATAGAAAGAAAAAGACAAAGAGAAGAAGAGAGAAGAAAGTGGAAAGAAGAAGAAAAACGAAAACGGAAAGACATAGAAAAGCTAAAGAAGATAGAAAGAGTTCCAGAAAGGGAAAAAATAAAGGAAGAACCAAAGATTAAGGTATGAAAATAACTGAAACTGACTGCACGTTGCTGAAAACTGCATGTATCTATTTCTTTATGCATGTATTTTGTGTCTTTGTAGATGAGTAATTTTGTTTTTGTCCTTTTGGGGGCGGGGAGTATACAAATAAAAATCTTTCCTGTTATACTAATAGTATTATTTTTTAAATTTTGAGATAACTTAAAAGGATTAAGTAGTTTATATGATGCTACCATTCTTCAGTGTAGCTCTGTGGTATTTTTAATCATTGAAAATGTTTACTGTTTGGTTTACTAGTCTCTCAGTTCCTAGTAAATGAGGGCTCAGGGCTGGCTCGCATGAATTTGGGGTTTTATTCAGCTTTTCCTTCATAATTGATACATGAAGTTGCCTCATCTGTTTGTTTTCCACTGTCTTCAGGTACACAGGTTTCTGTTACAAGCTGTGAATCAGAAAAATGTAAGGACCAAGTACATGATACAGAGCACCTAGTATCATGTCATACACACAGGTCTTAGCTTAATAAGTCCTTTTGGTGGTGGTGGTAGTGTTAACTGTTGAAACTCCTTAAGACTGACTTGGGTCTTCTTAAAAGCTGAGCTATTTTAAATTCCTACTTTAAAAGGAAGCCCAAATGACTTCCTAATGCTCTGCTGTGTACCCAGAGCTTCAACAACATATAGCCAGAGGACAACCAGGCCTATATAGCTCTTTCTCATCTTCTTACAAGTCTCTCATAACTGGCTGCTGTGTGGGAAGACCAAGAATAAATTCCATGCATTATGTGCTTTTCCCTTTCATGTGATTCGCATATTATCTTGTTGCATCTAGCTCGGAATCTATGAGCAGCAAATTGCATGTAGAGAGAAGAAAACCTGTAGAAAGATCCTAGCTTTGCTGCTTCCCTCCTCAGGGCATGGCTTGAGCAGCCCTTGCTCCACTGAACTTCCTGGGGAAGTACTAGTACCTAGTACTTCAGAAAGTCAGAGAACATCTCACGGAGATGGTGGCAGGGTCTCCTTTTACTTCCTGAAAATTCAGCAGTTTATGTGGGTAGGGTTCCATGGGTCTCTGTGAGGCTCATTATTGGTGATAAGGGGCTTAAAGGAGAGAGGATTTTCCCATCTTAATTCCTCCTAGCAATGTCTCTGTCTACTGTGCCACAAGCATTTTGACTTGCTATTCCTAATGATCAGCAAGGTAGAGGATAGAGCCAGGCATGCTAGAGACATTCGTTAATGTTCTTATTAAAATAATGAACATCTTGGCTTCTAATACAGATGTTCATTAGAGAAATAAGAACACTTTCAATGAAACCTGCATATGTTCTCGCTTTACAATGGCACCTTCCTTTCTTCAGTTTGAATTCCTATTTGCAGTGGCTAGCAGTGTGCTGAAATACTTTATGCTTAAGTCTTGTGGTGCTTTGCCTTTTGCTTGGTGACATGCATGATGCCTTTACCCTGAGATGAACCTTGTATGATGCCTTTACTCTGAGACTTCAAATTCTTCTATTTTGCCAAAGAATCTCTCTTACTATCCAACGTTTAGTGGGGATATTCAAGAGAGATTTATAGCAGTAATGTGAGAAAGAATGGCATTTTTGAGCATATATATATGGCACTGAGTAGATTTCCTACTCAGTAGAGATGGAACTTCACTCTTCTGTTGTATAAGGAATCAAATGCCAAATAATTCTTGTTAGTCATCTCTAATGATAATATAATTGTGCCATCATAAATATGTTATTCTCAGGCTCAAGGCAAAATTATTCTTGCAATGGATCTCTCCTTTGGTGACCAAGGTTATTTGTCATTCCCAGTACATATACATAAAGACAGTCAACAGTAATGATCTGCCTAGCATTTTAAATTTGTCGGATATTTTTCCCATTGAGTTATATCAACATTCTGGTTTGCTACACAAATATACTTGGAAGTATGCATTGGCTCACTTAAAGGTTGACTTATTATAGCCAGGCGTGGTGGTACATGCCTATAATCCCAGCATTCAGGAGGCAGAAGCAGGAGGATCATGAGTCCTAGGCAAGCCTGGGCTACATAGTGAGATCCTGTCTCAAAACACACACACACAAAAAAAAAAGGTTGACCAATTTAAAGCCAAAGGAGTCTTGATCCCATTGCCAAAAAGTGATTAAACCACTTCCTTTGGGTGAATAACACTTTCACTTTAGTAGCATTCTTTTAGTAATTACTGTTCTTGTGCACTAGTTGTTCACCTGAAAGTTTTAAGACTGACTACAGAGATACGGGGGTCTTCTAGAGTTTAAGTTTTAAATATTTAGTGTATTGTTTTATTTGCTAGAATCAGAAGACAAAATAAAAATATAAGCATATTCTCTTTAAAGCTGCTGAAGAAACCAGAAAAAGGAGATGAAAAAGAATTGGACAAAAGAGAAAAGCCCAAGAAACTGGACAAAGAGAATCTGATTGATGAAAGAGCTAGTGGGCAAAGCTGTATGCTGCCCAAGCGTCCTGATACTGAACTGAAAGATGAAAAGCCAAAGAGGTCAGTCAGTAGCCAAGGGGTCTTGGGTGTGTTTGATTGATAGGTATTAGTTTCAATGCTATGTCCTGAACTTATACCTGAGTTAAAATAGACTATTTGCCTGGCATGTTGGCACACACCTGTAATACCAGTACTTGGGAATCTGAGGCAGGCCAGCCTCAGATACACTGTTTTATGTAAGGCAGAGGAACAAGAAGGAAGAGTTTCTGTATTCTAGTATCTTGATCTGGGTGAATGATTTTTTATTTTTGTTGTTTTCTAAAACATTAGTACTTTTTACTCTGCTCTAAAAGTGCACACTTATTGCAGTAGCCAAGTTAGAATCACATTGTTCCTGCATTTGTGATTACATGAGTTTGAGGGTACACTCTTTTTTTTTTCTTCATGCAGACTTGAAGAAGAGAGTGGCAGAGACTACAGAGAGAGGGACCGGGATTACGAACGAGACCAGGATCGCATGCTCCGAGAAAGAGAGAGGCTGAAGCGGCAAGAAGAGGAACGCCGTAGGCAAAAGGAGCGCTATGAGAAGGAGAAGGCTTTTAAAAGAAAGGAAGAAGAAATTAAAAAAGAGAAAGAAGCACTTCGGGATAAAGGAAAGAAGAATGAAGGTGCAGAATCAATAAGCAGCGCAGAAAAAACTGAAAAGAAAGAGGAAGTGGTTAAGAGAGACCGCATAAGAAACAAGGTGCTGCTTTTCATTAAATGTGTCATTTTCCTAAGGATTTTTTTCCTCTTCCTGCAAGTGTAAAGGAAAGGTCTAGCTCACTGTTTATTGTAGAATTTTCTTTTCTCTCTCTCTCTCTCTCTCTCTCTCTTCTTATCCCTCTCTCCCACTCTCCTTCCTCCCCTTATGTTCTCTTCTTTAAAGAGGAAAACCTCTTCTTTATTTCACTTGTGGTACTAGGGATTGAACCCAGGGTCTTGTGCAAGACTCTATCACTGAACTATAACTCCAGTCCAAGAGTCTTTTTTTGGTTGTACTGGGTTTTGAACTCAGGGCCTCATGCTTGCTAAGCAGGTGCTCTACCACTTTAGCCACTCCACCAGCCCTTTATTATGTTGAGTATTTTTGAGATAGGGTCTCGAGAAGTATTTGCCTGGGGCTGACTTCGAACCAAAACTCTCCTGAGTAGCTAGAATTACAGGCATGAGCCACCAGTGCCCAGGTAAGTATCTTTTTCTTAATATAATCCCACTATTTACACCAATAAACCTAACAATAATTCAGTTCAGATTTTTCCCAGTTGCTTCATTAATGTCCTTTTTTAATGTATAATTTTTTAATTGGCACATACCAAATTCGAATTTTTTGGCGGTACTGAGGTTTAAACTCAGGGTCTCACACTTACTAGGCAGTACTAGGCAGGTGCTCTCACCGGGGGTGGGGGGGATGAGCCACTCCCCAGCCCACTAATGTCTTTTTAAATAGCATATAAACAATACCCACAAATTGTATTTGCTTGAAATATCCTCTTAAATTCTCTTTAAACAATTCCCCCTTCTTTTGTTTTCCTATTATTTATTAGTTGCAGAAACCAGTTTGTCCTGTAGAGCTTCTCACATTCTGGCAAATTGCATACCTGTGGTGTCATTTAACATATATCTTCTGTGTTTCCTTTAAAACTAGTAGTTAAGGCCTGGGGGTGTAGCTCAGGGGCTGAGCACATGCTTAGCATGCATGAGGCACTGGGTCAATTCCCAGCACCAAAAATAAAAAATATAGTAGATGTATCTAGGGCAGAGATCAATGAACTTTTTCTATAAAGGACCAGATGGTAAATATTTTAGGCTTTGTAGGCTATGTAGTCCCTGTCATAACCACTAAACTCTGTAAGAAAGCAGGCATAGGCAGTGTATAAAAGAAAGAGCTTGGAGTTTAGAGTGTAGCTAAGTGGTAGAGTGCTTGCCTAGCCTGTATGACACTCTAGGTTCCATCCCCAGCAGTACCAGAAAAAAGAAAGAATGAGCATGGCTGTGTGCCAAACTCTTATTTACAAAACAGCTATCCCACGATTGAGTGGCTTACATGTACTCAGACTCATTCCTTGACAACAATACTTTTTAGGTAGTGTTGCACTTCCTATTGCTTCACATCAGGAGGCATATGATGCCTGAGTGTCCTTTTGTTTATGGTGTTAGGATGATATCAATAACAATTATGTTGTGGTTATATAATAGAATGTACAAGCTTACCTATTTATGGATAAAGAAAGGGTCATAATGTCTGCAACTTCTCAAATTGTTCTGCAGAAATAATAATGCATGCAAAAATATATATATATGCAGAGCCGGTGGAGTAGCTCAAGTGGTAGAGCGCCTGCCTAGCAAGCATGAAGCCCTGAGTTCAAACCCCAGTATGTCAAAAAAAATGTACATACAAATACATTAGAGACAGAAAAAGCAAATGACAAAATGTTAACATTTGATGAGTCTTAGGAGAAGGGTAGGTAGGTATTCATTGTACTAATTTTACAAAACATTTCAAAAGAATTAAAATTTTTCAAGCTAAAAAGCTGGAAAAACCAGGCATGGTGGTACATGTCTATAATCCCAGCACTCAGGAGGCTGAGGCAGGAGGATCATGAATTTGAGGCCAGCCTGGGCTGCATAACAAGTTTGAGAGGAACCATGGCTACATAGCAAGACCCTTTCTCAAAAACAACTAAAAAGTTGGAAAAACACCTGATCAATAGGTTGAAGTATTATGAGCCTGATCCAGCTATTATAAAAAAATTATTAGCCTTTCTCCTTGCTTAGATTCATTATTTTATTAAGGGGTGGAAATGGTTATACAAAAATTCTGCCTTTCCACAATTGCATTTATTAGCTGATGTTCTTCTATAAGTAATAATTTTTAGGTAGGCATGGTGGTATATACCTGTAATCCCAGTACTTGGGAGGCTGAGAAAGGAGGATCACAAGTTCAAGGCCAGCCTAGGATACATAGTGAGACCCAATCTTAACAAACAAAAAATTTTTCTCTTATCTGCTATTCAGTTAGCATGAAATGCAGTTTACACAGATCAGGAAAAATAAATACTTGATCCTTTCCCTTTATTTACCAATGTTCACAGGAATGATTGGTGTCTCACCAACATCTAGGAGTTATCATTGAGTTTTGTTTAGTCACTAAGAACTCATGGATTTAGAAATTGTTAGTGCTGTGCCAGGCACTGGTGGCTCTCACTTGTAATCCTAGCTGCTCAAGAGGCAGAGATCAGGAGGATGAGGTTTGAAGCCAACCCTGGCAAATAGTTCACAAGACCCTGTCTCAAAAAAACCTATCACAAAAAAGGGATGGTGGACTGGCTTAGGGTGCATGGTGGACTGGCTTAGGGTGTAGGCCCTGAGTTCAAATTCCAGTACTGAAAAAAAAAAAGAAATCTTTAGTGCATTTGAATTTGTTATTAGCAGTTTTTATCCTTGATGGTAAAATTGTCCCACCTTTGAACAATTGGAGCCCCATCTATGTCTTTAAGTACTATGCAGGAGTTTACCAGTTTTAACATTCCACCTTGTGAAAGTGGTGGAATATTTTGCTGAAATTATTCAATTAAGAATAATGCTTTAGAGCTGAGATATAGCTCAGTGGTGGAGAGCTTGCCTAGCATGCATGAGGCCCTGGGTTCCCTCTTCGGTATTCCCCCGACTCACACACACAAAGAGTAATTCTTAGCTGGGCACTGGTGGCTCATGGCTATAATCCTAGCTACTCAGGAGGCAGAGATCAGGAGGATCGAGGTTCAAAGCCAGGCCAGGCAAATAGTTTCCAAGACCCTATCTCAAAAAAAACCATCACAAAAATGGAGTGGCTCCAGGTATAGGCCCCAAGTTCAAACCCCAGTACCACAAAAAAAAAAAAAAGAGTAATTCTTTATGGCTAACTTTCATAAATCAGAAAGAAAGGTTAAGGAAGGCTCATATGATTTTTATTGTTGTTGAATTTTTGGGGGTTGGGGGAGATGCTAGGGCTTGAGCCCAGGGCTTAGTGCATGCTAAGCATATGTTCTACTATTGCTACATCTCCAACCCCTTTCTGGTCTTTTTTTGGGGGGAGGTAGTGGTACTGGGGTTTGAACTCATAGCTTTGCTCTTGCTAGGCAGGCACTCTACTGCTTGAGCCACACCTCCAGTCCCCTTTTTGGTGAATTCTTTAAAAGGCTCATTTACGTTTTCTAGGATCATACTGTCAGAAACCAAACACATTACTTGAACTGAGGTACATGACTTTCTTGGCTTATTTAGGAAGCTGAGATTTAATAGTGCCACCTGCTGGGGTGTTAGATTGTTGTACCTGAATTGAAAAACCACCTGGCAAGGTAGTAGCCTGCTTTTGTAGTCCCAACTAACTAGGGAGGCAGAGGTGGGAGGATTGCTTGAGCCCAGGAGTTCAGACAAGCCTGGACAGCATAGCAAGACCCCCATCTGAAGAAAAAAAGTGTTTATGGCAAAAGGGCTGACTTCATAATTTCAGGGAAGTTTCCACCTAAGAGTTTTTATCCTTTCACCTGCCTAGCAAGCATGAATTCCTGAGTTCAAATCCCAGAACCACAAAAAAAAGTTTTCATTCTTTATTACTGTGTTTTTGCTCCTAATTTTTTTTGCAGTATTAGGGAATCAAACCCGGGGCCTTGCTAGGCAAGCACTCTACCACTGAGCTAAATCCCCAGCCTTTCCTAAACATATTTTTATGTGGTGGTGCATTTTAAAGTCAATTTACTACATTGGATGTGGTGGCACTTAACCTGTAATCCTAGCACTCAGGAATTTGAGGCAGGAGGATCATCAATTCAAGGCCAGCCTTGGCTACATAGTGAGACGCTTCTCAAAAATGAAAAACAAGCAAAAAAGTCAATTTGCTGATGGAGAGAAAAGATAGGCAATTGCTTGTGGTTTCTAAGTTTAAAAAAATTAGAGCTAATTAGTTCATCTTGAGATAGTCAAGAAAATTAGGCAGTAGATTTCTCAAGAATTTACACTAGGCATGTAAGATCATACTTGAGACCTGGTTGCTTTTCTTTGATGATAAGGGAGAGAAAGTGACCAGTTTGCTGTACCATGCACTCATATTTTTGGTCTTGTATAACTTGGTTTTAATATATATTACCTGAAAGTCCCATGTAAAAGCTTAGTAGCAATGTTATAACATGAACATATTTCATTTTACTTCAGGATCGTCCAGCAATGCAACTTTACCAACCAGGAGCTCGAAGCCGAAATCGACTCTGTCCCCCTGATGACAGCACCAAGTCTGGAGATTCAGCAATAGAAAGAAAGCAGGAAAGTGGTATTAGCCATAGAAAAGAAGGAGGAGAGGAGTGATAAGTCCAAATGGTCACAGGTGTCCTGACTGTCTAGGCAGCCAAAGAGCACGCATTAAGCAATCCAGAAGTGCCTCCGGGGCAAAGGAATAAAGAGAAAGAAAGGGGGTCGTTGTGCTGGTGGGATACACTGCAGAGGAGTATGTTTTGCGTCAAAGCAGAAATCAGATTGCAGGTTCAGAATTAGAAGTACAATTTCATTGTTTTTGCAGTTTCTACAAATTAAATTTAAAGTTTCAGAAAAGGATGGTGGTGAGGATATGCATTGCAATTTGCAGGTTGGAAGTGTCAGGCGAGGACTTAATTTTGTATGACAAGAAAAACAAGAGTTGGTTCTAAAATCAACAGGTTTTTGTTATCAGTCCTGGATTGAATATTCTTAGTTTGGGTGGAGCAGAGCTACTTTGAAGTCTTGTTCAGATCTAATTCTATTGCATTGTTGGTGATAACTGTTAACTTTGTGTAGTGTAGAAGCAACACTCATGTAATTGTAGTACAAGTACAGTGAAGGATATAACAAATTTTGATGCAAAAATTTAAATAGTCATGTTATGTCTATATCCTATGTCCAAAAATTTTAGGATTAGTTCTACCTTTTTGTTTACTTACATGAACTTAGCATCAATGATATTTTTCAACATCTCATTTTGCCTTTAGCACTTTTTTCTATTAGTAGGGAAAATGTAGTCCTTGGTTGGTTCTTGACAATCCAGTCTTTGTTTTATCTTAGGTCTGATGATTTGAGTGCATACCCTCTCCAGGAAGGAAACTTCACCAGTATCTGTTCCTGTTAATAGCAGCTCTTAGTCGAAGCTTGTTTTGTATTGCTGTCAATAAATATCAACAGCACTCAAGTATGAAGCTAAGTGTATTTATTTATTGTGCTGGGGACAGAACCCAGGGCCTTAAGCATGCTAAGCATGCCCTCTACCACCAAATTACACCCTCAGCCCAACACTAAGCATGTTTATTAACTTTCTAAATAGCTGTTAGTTTTGAGAAATTAAACATTTGATCCTGAATTAACCTCTTGGGAATTTTTGAAAGGGGATGGATATCAGTTTCTGTCTTAAGTAACCCACCAAGGAGAGGAACAAATCATGGTTCATTATTCTTGTTCCATAAGAACCAAAATGTTGCTGGGTACCAGTGACTCACACCTATAATTCTAGCTACCTGACCAAGCAGAGATCAGGAGGATTGTGGTTCAAAGCTAGCCCTGGCAAATAGTTTGCAAGATCCTATCTTGAAAATACTCAAAAAAAAAAAAAGGCTGACAGAGTAGCTCAAGTGGTAGAGTGCCTGAAGTATTGGGGTTTGAACTCAGATTCTCACACTCATAAGGCAAGCATTCTGCCACTTGAGCCACACCTCCAGCCCAGCAGATACAACTTTTTAGTGAAGGTCTGGCCACGGCTAGGCCTAATGATACATGCTAATAATATCAACACTCTGAAGCCTGAGGCAGAAGGATTGATAGTTTGAAGCTGACCTGGGATACACAGTGAGACCCTGTCTCAGAAATTAACAAATAGAAGAAATCTAGCCATGAAATAAAGTGGTGATATATAGGTAAATTGTGTTGATGAAGGATCATTTTAGATATACTAAAGAATGTTTAAAAGCCAAAAAGGAAAACCATAAGAGAGAGAATGAATACCCAGGGGGAGTGATAACCAATACTATAGGTTTCTTACAAAGGCAGGTGAAATGGAAGCCTAGGTAGATGTTAGAAGAGTTGGCCTTGGAGAAAGGAACCTTCTGTCAGGAGTTGGCACTGCTTGCCTGCTGACTCAGACTGTTACCAGCTAGGTGAATTCATGGCAGCTTTCCTGTCAGCACCTTCCTCTCTTGTTCTGCTTGTCTTGCCATTCTACCTCTAGGTAAACCACACTTTCTAACCCCACCCCTTGAAATTTCTTCCATTCCTTTATTCGTTTACTAATCACTGACTGTGCCAAACTGGAGTGAATTTTTCTCTCACTCCCTTGTTGGAGTGAGCTTTCTCTCGCTCCTGGTTATTACCAAACCTAACTGGGCTTAACTGGCAGCAACAGGAGATGCAGAAAGGACACAGGGTAGACAGAAAGCTGGGGCCAGGTATGTTGGGCACTCAGGTAGACTATGAGCACATGATAAAAGCGAGAGCACACAGGGAGGGGTGAGGATAGGTAAGACACCTAAAAAACTAGCTAGCATTTGTTGCCCTTAATGCAGAGAAACTAAAGCAGATACCTTAAAGCAACTGAGGCCAATAGGAAAAGGGGACCAGGAACTAGAGAAAAGGTTAGATTAAAAAGAATTAACCTAGAAGGTAACACCCATGCACAGGAAATCAATGTGAGTCAATGCCCTGTATAGCTATCCTTATCTCAACCAGCAAAACCCCTTGTTCCTTCCTATTATTGCTTATACTCTCTCTACAACAAAATTAGAGATAAGGGCAAAATAGTTTCTGCTGGGTATTGAGGGGGGGAGCGGGAGGGGGTGGAGTGGGTGGTAAGGGAGGGGGTGGGGGCAGGGGGGAGAAATAAACCAAGCCTTGTATGCACATATGAATAATAAAAGAAAAATGAAAAAAAAAAAAAAAGAAATGCACAACCCTCACTGATTCTTTTCTCTATTATTCTCTTCATTTACTCTGCTTGTTTTCGCTATCTTTATTCTTTAAGGCCTTACTCCTTTACAGTTCTTTAAAACCTTGCTTCTAAAGTCTTTCCTTAAAACCTTGCTTTTAAAGTCTTCTTTTCTATTCTTTAAAGTCTCTTTCCGCAAGACTTGCACTGTCCCATGTTTTCTCATAGCTGTTCTTTAGCATAATCTCTCTTAAAGTCTTTGCCCCCAGGCTTGCACTGTCCCATGTTCTCTCTTTAGCTTCCTAGAAGCCATGGTGCTCAGACTTGCACTGTCCCATGTTCTCTTTAGCTTTCTTAAAAGTCTCGGCCCTCAGGCTTGCTAGCAGTTCTTTTCCCTTCAGCAATTCTTTTCTCTTCCAAAAGCCTCTCACACCAAAAAGCCAACAGCCAAAAACCCCAAGCAAAAAAAGCCTGGCATCCTCCTTCAGTGAGTCTTATATCCAGTGGTAAACAGGGTGGAGCAGCAGTTCTTGGGGAGGGGCGTGACATTGTAACAGGAGAAACCTGCGTTCCTGCTTCTGATTCTCTGAGAACTTAAACAACTTAGAAGAAGCAGCTGTTCTGCATTTTCCTCTTCTGCGGCCCATCTCGGCCTATAGATAAACATCTTAGGAAGAGCAGCTGAGCTACATCTCGCCTTGCTTTATGTCCAATTCTCATAGGCTCCTCATAATCCACTCTACACCAAACTTTGGAGGTCAAGAACTCAAACAAGTTCTTGTCCTTAAGGAACTCATGGTACAGTGATGACAAGAGACAAATAAAAATAATGAGAGCACAATGTACAATGTGAAAAGGGCTATAGTAGGACAGGATGGTGTGGGAGCCTCTTGCCTAAACTGCGAAGAGTTGCTAGAGAAAATCCCTAAACCAGACCAACTGATGAAACCACAGGAGGGACCTCCCTCCTGCTGAATAGTTGCCTTAATCCTTCTTGAATTGACATCCTTTTCCACAGTGCCACCTTTCTAGTTTCTCTCTTCCTCCCTCTCTTCCCTCTTTCATTTGCATCCTTGTGCTAGAGGGGTCAGTGTGAGGACCACTTCCTAGTAAATCATAATTTCATACTCTTTGAGGCAGGGTATCACTGTAGCCCAAGCTGGCCTAGAACTTGCTATGTACCCCAGGTTGGCCTCAAACTTGCCATCCTCAGCCTAAAGAGAGCTGGGATTATAGGCATAAGCCACCACACCTGGCTTCTCATATTAATAAAAATAAATTTATATTGGCTGGGGGTGTACAGTGCTTGCCTAGCATGTGCAAGACTCTGGGTTTGATCCTGAGGACTGCCAAAAAAAGAGTAAGCTTATAAATAATAAATGAGAGTCCATTCCATTTTTTCTGACTTTTCTTCAGACACAGGTTTGATTTCTTTGTCTACTTTTCTCTTTTTGATTGTGGGGTAAGTGGTACTGGAGTTCAAACTCGAGCTTTGCTAAGCAGGCGCACTACTACTCTTTTTGATTTTTTTTTTCCTGATGTTGGGGATGGAACCCAGGACCTGACACATGCTAGACAAATGCTCTACTACTGAGCTATATCCACATTCTCTGATTTCTTCGGAAATAAAAACAGGATGCAGACAACTCAGACACTGAGCAACTCCTACTGTGTACTAGTACTGACACTAATGCTGTGAACACCACAGGGGCCCTCTTACACTGCTTTCAGCAGAAGGGAGTGAGATGTTCTGATTGATAGAAGGAAGTGATGCTAAGGGAAGTGTACAGGAGAAATCAAATAGCTGAGGGCAGTGGGAGTAGGTATCTCCTGGGCAGTGAAGAACAGATGGCTTAGGCATTTGTGAGGCTCTCATGCCTTTCAAATCAGGAACCAACCCCCTACCCCAGCACATGTATACAAGGTAGTCCTGAGAGTAATTTAGTTCTGATAATAAAATTAAGATCTAACTTTCTGTGGCATTCAGAGGTGTTATCTATTTATTTTGTAGGGGAAGGCATACATAAAGGTTTTATTTCTACTTTTTAAAATTTTTTACAGCTGGGCACTGGTGGCTCCTATCTGTAATCCTAGCTACTTGAAAGACTGAGATTGGGAAGATCATGGTTCAAAGTCCAGCTCAGGCAAATTGTTCACAAGACCCCATCTCCAAAATAACCAGATCAAAATGAACTGGAAGTGTAACTCAAGCAGTAGAGTACCTGCTTTGCAAGTGCAAAGCCCTGAGTTCAAAACCCTAGTCCCTGGACTAGTGCAATGGCTCAGGTGGTAGAGTGCCTGCCTAACAAGTATAAGGCCCTGAGTTCAAACCCCAGTACCACCACTAACAACAATAACAAAAACTGAGGTCCACCAAAAAAAATTTTTTTTACTATTTTTATTGGCATACATTAATAGTACAAGGGAGTCTCACTGTGATAATTCCATACATGCACACAGTATGCTTTGAGGAAATTCACCCCTCTATTATTGTCAAATAAGATCAAATCAGAAAGATTAATTTAGAATTTGAGACTCTCTTTTCTGAGACAGGATCTTGCTATGTAGCCCATGCTGGACAGGCTTTTAAAATAATCGTCCTGCTTTGGCCTTCTGAGTGCTGGGATTCATTGGAGGGAGACCTTACAACCAGTTTCAGTTTGAGTGCTGGGTGAAAACCTGACTGCAGTGGATTCCTGAGAGGATGGGCACACACTGGGATTGCTATAATTTTTTAAAGAAAATAACAAATATTAGCAAAGGTGGAGAAACTATAGAGACCTTATACGTTGCTGGTGGCAATGTAAAATGCTACAGCCACTATGACAAATGCTTTGGCAGTTCCTTAAAAGGGAGGCAAGGATCAGGAGGATCATGGCTGGAAGCTAGTCTGGGCAAATAGTTCAATAGATCTCGAAAATAATCAACACACATCCCACACACACATACACACACTCAAAAAGGACTGGAGGAGTGGGTGGCTCAAGTGGTAGAGGCCCTGAGTTAAAGCAAGTATGAGGCCCTGAGTTAAAACCTCAGTACCACCCAAAAAAAGGTGAGACATAGAGTTACTATATAAACCTGTGATTCCACTCCTTAGGTACAGACTTGAGGGAAATAAAACAGGTACTCAAATACTTATATACCAGTGTGTACAGTATAATTCAAAATAGTCAAAAACAGAAACAACCCAAATGTCTGAAAATGTAGATTTGTATAGTAGAATACTAATCACAAAAAGAAATTATGTATTAGCACAAGGTACAACATGCATGAACCT